TGGCTGAATTTTTAGAATGTGTCTCAGTGAGTACAAGTGAAATCTGAGGTTGTGGGATGTTTCTACAAGGTTCCCAGGAAGCGAAGGGTGAATACACAAATAACACAAACACGAACTGCAAGTCAGAGCCTCCAAAACAGACTCCACTGTATTAGTATCAGACACAAATATTTTTCTGAGGACAGACCAAATATGTTTTCTTCTTTTAGTAAAAATCTAATTCTTAAAAATGTTATTTCAGAGTAAAAGAGAACTCACATTATTTAGAGAACACTGGAACAAATGTATATTGATTTTTAGGTTTTATAATGAAATTTGCTTGATGTGCTTATCTTCACAAATGAAATGAACATTGACCTGACTGATTGCATATTGACAATGAAACTATCCTTAGATACAGAAGGTTTTATTGATACTGTCAAAGAAAGTTAGAGATGATGGCCAGTCTCTTTATAAATTGACAGTATTAGCTCTGACCCAAACTTTGATCTTTCCCCACTGTCTGGAAAGAGGAAGAAGGGAAATATCACTTCTCTTTTTCCTCACTTTACCTCAAAATAAGTTAGTTTTAATAATATGTTGGGGGAAAAATAGAAATGGTGAGGGTCTACAGAAGGGAAAAACACACCATAAGAGCTTCTATCCATGAAACAGGAAAAGATAAAAATGTTCTCACCTGTAAGTAAAAATAACTGCCTACTATGAAAAAGTACTGGAAATCTGGGGATTCATCAACTTTCTACCATAAATGCAAAGTAACAAAATGCATTCAATTGTTTTGCATTTCCTCAAAATGAGATTTTCATTAGAATTGCTGATTAAGTGATTCTCTGATTATTTGCACAGGATTACCATCTTACCCACTCATTTCTAACTTTATTTAATAAGTGCATGCTTCTGAAAGCAACAAAACAGTAGGTTTTGTGAGAACTGTATACATGTCACTTTGCTGAGACAAGTATTACTTTTTCATTCTGGTGTCTGTATTCTTGAGCACTAAGGCAAAAGAACTGACAGAGTACATTTCAAATGTGCTAATTAATAAACACTTCATTCATTACAGAATGCTATAGTGTGCCTGTTGTAGGGCTATGCTCTGAAAATGAGATATAATCCCTGCCCACTGGGGGCTTCCAACTGAGTTAAGAATTTGAATAGCCTGCACGTGCTGCCTAAATCAGTCCCAGAGATACAGAAGTCCCTGCAATATACAGAAATTCAAGTTGCTGTTAGAAGCTCAAGTTGGAGGAGAAAAGAAAAAAAAAATTTGTCTCCTAAAATGGTCAAAATATTTAAATTAGGTTAGGGAATTTTGCTTAAATCAGTAGTGATATTTTTCTGTATTTTCACATTATTGTTTCATAAGGAGAAAAATAATAGTGATGTTTACAAACTAAAAACTTTTATAATTAAAAACATTTTACCTATGACAGAAAACAATTCAGGTATTGATAAATAAGCTTTTAAAAGCTCTTCTAAAAGCAACAATTCATAAAAGGAAAGACAAGTCTAGCCAAAGACAATTCATTTTGTGACCTACTCTCATCAAAAAGAAAAATAACATGTTTTTAAAAAGAAATATTTTATTAAGCAAATCCAAAAGCTACATTGATTTACTATATATAAATTAAATATAAATAAGTTCAGTGTGTTTCAAAGTAAATATATTTCACAGGATTCTTTAATATTGTTTATGAGATATTCATAAATTGTAAAGATAAAAAACTCTGCCTTAAAAGCTTTTTCAGTTATCTGCTTGCTGAGTTACTATTTTAAACCCCAAGTGCTTCTTCAAGAACGGACAGGTTGATAGTTTTCTGACCAAGTTGACATTATCCCACAAGATGCTTCATTATCCTCTGAAAATACTGAAATGAAAATTAACACACAAGACTTTTTTTGTGCTTTGCCTTTAAAAGGAGAAAAAACTATATTAATAGCAACTGTCTCCTTCATGGAACATCATATGTTAAGTGACTGTGTTTATGATTTTAAATCCTATGTGCATTTTACAAAAATCAAGAATTTTCATTTTGTTTAACAAATTAAAGAAAAAACTACAGGTATAAAAAAGTGCAAAACAGGAAAAGTCTATGAAGAAAATATATAATTTTATTTTATTTATTTATTTTTTATTTTATTTTATTTTTTGGTACCGGGGATTGAACTCAGGTCCTTGTGCTTGCAAGGCAGGCCACCAAACGGCTGAGCTAAATCCCCGGCCCGAAAATATATAATTTTAAAAGAAACAGTTTAGTTAGCTATTTTTTGGATCAAAAGAGGTTATATTATTTTTGGTGCAGTTCACATAATTTGTTAAAGGTTTATAATAAAATCAAAGGAACTGATGAATTGCTAAAATTTGAAGGCATCAGAAGTCTAGGAAAAATTAAAAAGGTCTATACAATTTTTGCTGAGTAATGAATATAGCAAGAAATATGAATTTTACTAAGCCTACATCAAAGACCAGGAAAGTTTACGACCTTTGTGCATTTCCAAGTATTTATAAGTGATCTTTTATAATATCACAAGAAACAGAAACATCTCAAATACAATTTGTAAAATATATCAAGCATGAAGTTTTAACAATTCAAAAATTATAACTGTTTATGACATTTACATGATGAACTTTTGAATATATAGGTTTACAGCACATATGTTCATACCTTTGTCTCCATATATATGGAAGAAATCTGGAACAAGCAGTTTTGGGGTCAGTAATCTGAACATATAGGTTAGTTTTCTCATCTGTATAAAGGGGTTATTATATTCAACAGCTGATTCCTTAACTTCTATAAGATGTAGTGTTATCTTATTTGGACAATTACAAGGCATCAGTTGGGCCATATCATCTATGGGTCAAACCTTTAAGGGGCCCAAAATGTCAGTAAACTTAGCTACATGCTGAGCTTTGCTGTTTTCTGTCAGTGTGATGGGCTAGCAGAGTGAGCTGACTCAGTTCCTGACTGCACTAGGCTAGTGGAGGAATATACCTATTCAGGTACGCATTGACGCCAACTAAACTAGCCTATGTTAACATTCCTGCATCTAAACTGAAACTCAAGGTAAATAACTACCCCAAGTTGACACAGGCAATCAGTATTAAGACTGAAATTAGAGTAAATGTTTCTTACATTCATTCCCATAATTTTTTCACCAAAAGCGTATACAACTATACAATAAGCTGATCACTCTGCTACATTATTAAGAATTTAAAGTAAGGGAACCTGAAAAGTCCACACTTTGTCATCAACCCAGAAATGTCTCTAGATCTATATGTACCCTTCAAAATGAAGAATTAATTAATAGCTACTGAACCCAGAGAAATAAACACATGCTCTTTGTGGAGCATAAAGCAAAAGAAACAAAGCAAAAGGAAAAATGTTCATAGCAAAGACATTCTAACAAGAGACTATTAGTTGACATTGGAGTTTTGTTCTTCTAGTTGGAGATAGCAAAAATTGTCTCCACTGGAAGATCCAAACAATTTTAATTGGTTTTATTTTCATATAGGTGGGTATAGAAGAGGTAAAGAAAAATTTGGAAAGGATTAAGAATTTTTTGAAGTGAAGCCATTCATATGTCAATTTCTGCATATTCTAAGTGTGGATCACTGTCTATGTGATATATTCTATCATATAATGCCTGGAGTAGAAAGAAAAGTCTGGAAACTTTAAGTGTTAAAGGTCCCCAAAAATTTTGTTTCCAATAGCAGCACATGCTAGCAGAAGAATTTTCAAGGCTTTTGATTCTGAAGTCACCACTTCATTATTGGGACTTCTCAATGTCTGCTGGACCCAGCCATCCATCACTCACTTTAAGAAAACTGCTCCTCTGAAAAGAAAGGACTCCTGAAGACTGGTTATTTTTAGAAATATTTTGACAAATGTTTAAATAGTCTATGACTGGAGGAAGAAAGTATCTAGGTGCAATTATCATCTTTTTTACATCTCTGTGTTTTCAGTTCTGCATTTTGAATTCTTCTCCTGTTTATTTGGACTGTAAAGTGATTCACTGGCAGCCGATGTATGCATTCACCTAGCCACTGACTACGTCAAATGACTGCCTTGAAAATTTACTGCTGGTTAAATATTTTAAACTTCTACCAATATTATCTCATATCCAATTAAGGTCTCGTTGAGGCAGATTTTTTAAAAACTCTCTTTCATTGAAGGCAGTGTTCATGAAGCTAATCACAGCTAAGGTATACTTACTCCTCTCACTTTGAGGTCTAATTTTCTGGAGGGAAGATGCCTTACCCTGTGGGAAGTTATCAACAAGAGCTCAGAAAAGAATAGGGTGTGGGGTGGGTGCTCAGTATTGGAGATGAAAGGCGTGGAGAATTGGCTGCTTACTTCGTGCCTCTGTCCGCTCTCCAGTTTCTTTAATTAGTTCCCTTGGCATTTCTGAGGAAAAATAGGTGGCACACTCCCCTAAAGTCTCATGTTCTTCCACCCACTACTTTCTCTTAAAAGTAACAGTTTACTTGAAAACTCATTTATCTTGAATTTTATAATCAGTCTCTCTGCAACACAGTTTAAAATTATGGCTGTAGAGGAGTCAAAAGAAATCTTGAAACAAAATGTTTTAATTCTCTGCTTCTCTAGTGAAGCATAAGGGGGCTATTACCCAAAGTATCACACTCAAAATACAGCACATTTATTCAGGATTAGGAAAGTTGAATTTTCTTTGATTGCTCAACTGCAGGAAATACTCTCTTTACCGCAACAGACATTATGAAATTAAGACATCAATAATTCCTTTAAAATTTCCATCCTGATTTACAATACACAATTTCATCTGGTCCTTACAATCACTCTGCAAAGCGGTTATTTCAGAATTTCTCAGTCTTGGCATTATAGAGAGCTGAAGCCAGATAATTCCTTGTTGAGAAGGCTTTCCAGCACACTGCAGAATGTTCAGCAGTATCCATGGTTTCTCCCCTAGAATCTCATATCACACACAATACACACCTTTGTGATGATTAAAATGCCTCTAGATATTTCTTTCTGAGTGAGGCAGTCAAGAAGCAGCAAAATCTCAGCTGGGATCCCATGAGGTACCTATAATCCTGATTTTTTTCAAGGACATTTCATTAGACACACCTAGGGGAATACCCAAGTTTATCAAGACTTTAGTGTCTCTCCTAACTGAACTTTTAATACCTTCAGTAATTTTTCAGCTCCATCTGAGAAACATCCCAAAATCTATCCACTCATCTCTATCTCTACTACCACCACTCAGACCAACGAACTGCCTCTTGCTTCAGCTACTGAAATAACTTATGTACAATTCATAGACCAGTTTTCCTCTCTTAAATCCACATCCTGTACAAATAGTATCTTAAAAGCAAATCTAATCATAGTAACACATGATTTAAAGCCCCCAATATTGTCACAATGCATTAAGAACAAAATCCAAATCATTCATCTCACTTATTTCTCTGATATCTGACCTTCACTCAGTACACTAATTAAAATGACTGTCACAATCTTACAATATGACCAGTTCATTATCAAGTTGAAGTCTCTGCATAAGCTGTTCTTTTTGTTAGGATTGCACTTTTACTGACATTCGTGGCCATTTCTTCCAGATCTTAGCTAAGCCAAGTTAATACTCTGTTTGTCTAGATTACATACATATTATGTTAATTATTATCATACAATGCCAACTCCAATGATGTCTTGCACTATCTTTTGTTAAGTCTAGCACATAGTAGACTTTCAATTAATGTATATTGAATAAAAATATAAAATAATGACTTATAATTCACAAGGTCAGAACCAGAAATGGAATGAGATGGTTCTTTCCATTATACCATTACAACACAATAATTACAAAGCTACCCATTCGTAAAACATTTATAATAGAAATACAACAGGGATAGGATGTAGATTGTAAGGTGGGAATCTTTAAAATGGAAAAGGCTCACCATCTCTGGAAGAATCGCACACACCTTTTATTTTTAAAGCATGTGTGAGAACTGCCAAAGTGGAATAGTAGGGAAGAAAGTAATAGGAGTTGGAGCCACCATACAAGTTGCACTTAGGAGATTAGCTAAAATTGTATCCTGAAGAAGGATTAGGTTAATATCCACCTCACCAATCTGTACCTGTCGATATTTTGGCCTTAAGGAAGTCTAGCTTAATAATGTCAACTGCAGGAGAATTACCAGCTAGAGAGAATGAGTTAAGTATCCTATTTAGAGGTCACTGCAGGTAATGTGACTTCTCTGGGCTGTGATCCAAGGACACTCTTTCTGTGCCTGTGTGAAATGGTGACTCAATTTCTCAGCCATTTCTTTGTGTGCGTGCTCAGAGCAAAAGCTGTCATCTGTGCTACAGGTGGCTAGGATAGTTCTCCACTGGGAAACTGCAACAGCCCCCAACTGAGATGAAAACATAAAGCTGGTATCTCTTGTGATCAGCATAATTTAAGAACTTGGAATCTGTGACAATAATGACTAAAATGATAAGAGTTGGTTTTCACATAAAGAGTAATGGGAAGGCTGAAAAGAAATAGCTTTGATAATGAAATTCAAAATGAAACAAATTAAATTTCAAGTATATTCTATGCAACTCCCTGATGATTGTAGGGAGTGGAGGGTAGAGGGAGAATGTGAACATTTTATTTCTTTGTACTTTCTCTTCTTGACTGATTGTATGCTAATTTGAGGATCCAAAGTGATTTATAAATAAGGATATTTAGAAATAAAAAACAGGGAAATTTAATTAGAGAAAGCATTTTGTGGATCTAATATGCTGCAGCTCTGAATGATTTCACAACCATGAGTAAAATTACCAGTTACTAAAATCACAATGATACAAATACTTTTATAGGATGCTCATAGTGACTTAAAAATAGCATAATACAAACTTTAGAAGTAACACCACTTTGAATCCTGCATATAATTTTATTCAAAGATTACAACTCATCATCCAAAAGTAGTACTTTTTCCTGTAATATAAGATATGTACTCCAGATAATAATAAAGTTGGGAGCAACCAAGGTAACACAAAAAAAAGCCTAGAACTTTTCATAACTACAAAGAGCACCATCAAAAATAAAATACATCTTCTTTCAATGACAGTACAACAGATTCATGGATCAGCATGTATTTATTACTAACCAAAATCCCCATTTGCTAAAACTAAAATGATTGCCACAACGTCTTCCTCAAGAGAGTTCATACATTAGTGAAAGTAATCTATATTTCAAAGCATGTGCCAGCTGGTCATGGTGGTGTATGCCGGTAATCCCAGAATTCTGGGAGGCGAAGACGTAAGGACTGAGTTAAAACCCAAGCTGTACAATTTAATGACCTTGCAAGAACCTGTGTCAAAGACAGAGAGACAGACAGACAGACAGACACCTGGGAATGTAGAAAGGTGCAGGAGATCTGGGTTTAATTCTAAATACCAAGGTAAAAATAAATTTACCTATCAACCCATCAGGTTTCTCTCTCTTAAAAGACTAGCACTTCTTTTTTTTTTTTTTTTTTTTTTTTT